AGTCTGATCCCCAGGAACCCTCGAGCCCAGCAACCTGAGTCTGATCCCCAGGAACCCGAAGGCGGAAGGAGAGCACTGACCCACGCCGGTGTGCACACGCACAGAAATAAGCGTGAGAAAGCAGCAGTGTGAGTACTCGTATGCCTAGGGCACGACCAAGCAATACGCCAAGAGCAAAGATCCCTTTAAATGTCCCCGAAAGGAATAACTGACGGGGGTGAAATAATCTTTTAATTCAGCAAGTTAACAAAAGATAAACGCTAATAAAATCAGAATGGGAGAGTAAAAATAAAAGCAGGAATTAAAATCTGATTCAGCTAGTTATGGAGACACCCGTCATCCTGAAACATGGGAGACTGAGGCAGAATTGTGAGTTTCAGGCCAGCCTGGGCTAACTGGTGAGATTTTTGATCCCCTGCTCCCTGCTACCTGTACCACCCCTACCCCATATCAAAAAAAGGAGAGGAGAAGGAGGAGGAGGAGGAGGAGGAGGAGGAGGAGGAGGAGGAGGAGGAGGCAGCAACATCTGCTGTTTTAATGCCTGGTTGCTTCTTGAAGACATGGCTGAATTTAGTTCTGGAGACAGGAAAAATATAAAATAAGCTTGGGCTACCTTGTAGTGCCAGAACGTCAGTGACCACTGAAGTAAATAAACAAAAGCAGACCAATCAATAAAGCAAAGAAACACAACACCAGAAGGGTGGAGATGTGGAGGGCGCTAGCTGGAAGAGCTGCAGAGGCCCAAAACTGGCGGCCTGAGCGACAGAGGAAACATGCAGCTTTAACTAAAGAACACATGCGTGTTCTGGGCTCAATTACTAACCATGAGACTCTGTTTAAAAAACAAAAAGGCATGGTGGTGCACACCTATAATCCCAGCACGTAAGAAGATCTTGAGTTCAAGACTGCCTCTCACTACATAGCGAGTTCAAGGCCAGACTTCGCTTCATGAGACCGTCTCAGTAGGTGGGTGGATGGGCAGAATGATAGAGAAGAGACAGTCTTTACAAAAGAATGCTCTAGGCTGTTGCTTTTTCTTATAAGGAAAGTGGGCTGGGCTTGGAGGCCTATCTCCAAAGAACCTGAGGGGTGAACGTAACGAAATAGCTTTGCAGTGCAGAAATGTAGCCAATGCTTCTAAGTGACATAAGTAATGCTGACACTGTGAACTCCGACATAATGAGAGGGCACTTCCACTCTGACATCTCCCCCAAACCCGGCAGTCCAATCCTGAAGACATCAAACAAACTCCAATTGAGGGATGCTGCTTAACACCAAAACTCTTCCAAGCTGTGAACAGCATGTGTGAGCGACAACAGCCTTAGCGAATGTCTCAGAGAGGAAGAAATAAGAAGATATGAAGATTAAACACAGTGTAGCATCAGGGACTGAGTCCTAGACACAATGAGGACATTAGCAGGGGGGAAAATCTGTAAAATGGGAACAAAATGCATATTTAGCTGCAGCACCCACATCAACCCCTGGCTTTGGCGTTGTTTTGTATAAGACACCTACTGTAGCCATCGAGGTGGAGGTGGGAAGTAGCCCTTTGTGTTACCTTAGCTATCTTTCTATAAATCTACTACCATTCCAAAATTAATAGAGTCGCCTTCTTTTCCTAACCAATTACATATACCTCAGAAGACTTTCAAAGGCAATTTCTTGAACATTGAATGTAGAATTTGGCAATGATTTTAAGGTTGTGAAAAGTCAGCTAGGAGGTGGTAGCTCACGCCTTTAATCCCAGCACTCGGGAGGCAGAGACAGGTGGATCTCTGTGAGTTCAAGGCCAGCCTGATCTGCAGAGCAGCCTCCAAAGCTATAGAGAAACCCTGTCTCAGAGGAAAAATTGTGAAAAATCAGTTCTGTCACTAAGCATTTACAATTTTAAATCGGCTGTGCAGAAGTGCCATCTGGCCACTCCTGTTAGACATGGGTCTGGGGGCAGGGGTCATCCCAAGAAAATGACCACACTAACCAAAGTATTTTAGCAAGACAAATTGGCCCACTTCTGCAGGAGAGTGTATAGGAAGGGCCCTATGCCTCCCTGACTGGGCAACACCCAGCCCCACATCCTTATTGCTAACACAGAAGGCACAGTAAGCAAAGAACAAATTCCAAAACCAAGGTGCAACCCATGAGCGTGTGTTGATTTCAGAAGTGCAGGCTCTAGAGGAACTTGAATTTCTACCAAGTGGCTCCTTTACAACTCTTTTCAATGGAGTTCTGTCTTATTTAACCTTTTACACTTCTTACACTTGTTTGTAAGTTGGAGTATTATTAAATTGCCTGCTATAATATGGTACACTTTCACAATGGGACCCATGGCAACTTGTGAGACAGCAGGATTCCCAGGAGAACCCAAAAGACTCCTCCGGGCCCATGTGGAGCCCTACTGTGCCCTCTCCTAGCCCTGTGGTGGCCCCGGGTGGGAGCACAGTCCAGGCCTCTGTGGAGGGAGCAGCTCGGCCCACGGGTATCTTTAAAGCAGCTAGAAAAGTAGCACACCAAAGAATAGAGATTTGATTTTTTTTATACCCAAGTACAAACAAAATGAGATTATCCAATCCTCCAACAAAAATGAGTGCAGGCCTTAAGACATCTCCCTCTCCATGGCATCACACTTCCGGTGGTGCTCAGTTCCATGGTTCCATGGCCTCACACTTCCGGCGGTGCCCAATGCAGTTACTGACCGCTGGATCCCCTTAAAGCCGGCTCTCACCCGTAAGCACAGGACCTGTGCTGAGAGGCAGTGTGTGTCCTGGAAACCTCTGCTCTCCCTAAACTCTACAGCTCTCGATTCCCGAGGGAGACTCCTGGAAGAATATGGCATGCCTACCTCGGGCCAGTAGACTCAAGCACTCGGATTCCTGGAGAGCTGTCTGGAGCTGAGGCAGTCACAAAGCTGGCCAGAAGCAATCTGTTATATCGCGTTCCATCCCATCCTCTCTCGCTTCTCAGTCACCGCCCTCAGGTTCACCCTGCTCATTTTCCATCCCACTCCCAAACCCTTTAGATGACTCATGGTACATGTCAACAGTGGGTTGCATCCTTAGAGTTACCTGTAGTATCTCTAAGTAACCCCATCAGGTATACCCCACCCATTGCCCCATCTGGATTCATGGCAAAGACCCTGAGAAATGATGATTTCGGTAAGAGAGAGGACTCACAGAAGTGAGGTTACATGTTGTGTACATCTATTAAATAAATACATATCCACATAATAAATGTATTTACCTATGAATATTTATTTTTGTATACACGAACAGAAAAGGGGAGGTGGATATCCAAGCACCTCCTGTGGCCAAGAGAGCCTGGAGGAAGCTGTCACAGAGTGAAATCCTGGAGAGCAGTGGCCAGGGGAAAATATTTCAGCAGATTTTTATCAAATTCACTCCATTCTAAGCCACCAGCTTGAGTGCTGTGGAGGGATGTTCGTCACAGAGCCTTCGGCGTTTCTGCCGGTGGCACATCCCTCCTCCTGACACCTGCAAGCGTTGCTCAGTCTCTGCAGGTTCCCTGAGACCCTGGGCACTGTTGTGCAACATTTAGGCGCTCAAGAAACATTCACAAATTGAAAAGCTGTCACTTCACAGCAGGGTTTCATGAGTTTTAGACATGTGTTTATCTCTTCTTTGAAAGCAGTATCATCCCTGCAAGTACCATACACCAAGTCTATTGTGAAACATTTCAAATATTCAGAACAGAGCTGGGTGGTGAGGCCGCCACTCACATTTGACAAGTGCTGACATTTCTTCCTATTTTCTCCAACTTCTATTAAAAAAAAAAACGCTAACACGTGAACAGTTCTCTTGCAACTCTTCCAGACCCCATTCCCTTCTCCCCTCCTTCCCAGGAGGCTCCATCATCCCCAAGTTACCTACATCCTTTGTCCATTTTCCATCCCTGCTCTGCATGCACTAATACAGAGAAATACAGAGCTTTTTCTCTTGCCTTAATACTTTACCACACATGGTAGTATCACATTAACATGTGAAACTTCCTAGTTTTCTGCAACCGTGTAACTTCGGTATTGACTGGGACGCATAGCTTCTCTAGTTTATTTGTAAATATTGTACAGACATAAAGTTAACTTATGCTTCTTCTTGTTGGTGGGCAATTACATTGTTTGAATTTTAATCGATTATTGAAAGAAAAAACGTTACCACACTCATCCTGTGAAGTTCTCCTTGCAACAGACATGAGCTTCTCCCCAGAGATCACATCTGGAAGGAGGCAGTTGAACTCAGGGGAACATGGGTCTCCAGCTTAGTTTTCCAAAGTTTGTGTGAGTGCTGCTGTTCCTCCTGTCATTCCTGGTGCCCACTTAGACACTTTTTTTTAATCACTCTGGTAGACATGGAGAATCATACTGTATTTCCCACTTCCCTGGTTACTAGGGACGTTGATCTTTACGTGCTAAGGACCATTCTGGCTTCCTCTCCTATGAATTGCCTGTCATTGGATTGATTGACGGTCTCCTTTTTGGCTTTAAAGGTACTTGCATATTTTGTACACTCTTGTTAGTAGTCTTTGTTCATTTCACCCACTTCTTGTCATTCCCCTAGATCTCCGCCCCCCTCCCTGCCCCATTGCTGTCATTCCGTGGAGGTTTTAGCACCTGGTCCACTGTCTCTTTCTAGTGCTGTCATTGTTTCTGGCTCTTGCACCTTGGCATGCAGCACTTGGTGTTGGGTCTCAAACCCGGGATGACTATTTAACATATCAAAGCTGACCTGGTTACCAGGTTCTCCCAGCATCCCTCAGTCCCCACCTGTTACAGGGTACCACTGGCATACCCCACCCCTTACCCTAAACTTCTCCATCCCATGGGCTGGACCGCCCTCTCCCCAGCTGCCATTTGGTTACCCGGTCCTTTTGTCTGCCCTTCATCCTCCTGGCCTCTTGGTCTCCTGGTTCTCCCCTCTCCCCTCCTCTCTCTCCTCATGTGGACTCTCCTAGATATCCCCACCTCTGGATATGCTCTCCCTCATACCTACCTTCTCCTCCTCCATACCTAAGAGCAATCGTGTCCTCCTTTTCCATTCCTTTTTTCATTCACTCTGCATGAAAGAACATATGAACCACGGAGACAGCTAAACGCCTGCTACCAAACCTGATGCTCCAGGTTTGATGGCTAGGACCACACGGCGGAAGGAGGGAACTGACTCCCACCCTTGTCCTCTGACCACGCACGCACCATAAGATGCGTGCCTCCCACACCAAATCCATAACAAACGTCATTTTTAGTGGCCATCTGGTTTTCTCCTGTCCCACCCATTCTCCTTTCTCTGTTTATAGAAAGACCCTCTAGAGAGCATCTGCACATCCTCTTCCCATGCTCTTATCCTACGCTTTCCTGAGCCCGCTTCCGTCACCGCCACTCCCCTGAAACCATTGCCACAGTCACGGGTAATTCCCACTTTGAATCTACTGGGGTCTCACTTCTCACTGAGCCTTCAGCAGGCTGTGATGGAGTTGCTCTCTCGTTCTTGGGATGTCTTCTTGGTGACATCAGATCTTGCAGAACACCCCTTGTCCTCTTTCACTGGCTCCTTTCTTAGCTCCCCAAGTCTCAGAGCCTCTTACCTTTGTAAATGTTAGCTCCCTGGGCAACGTCACCTAACCTAACCACTCTCAAAACGGTATGGTAGAAGTTTCCCTCGTGCCTCAACTCCAGACTCATGACCCAGTCAGCCTCCTACTTGATCTCTCACTAAGCCTATCGAAAGCCAACACCTCACTCTCTTCCACAAGTCGGCTCCTCCCACAGAGTTGGCCTCTCATGGAAAGGTACCTTCACCAAACAAGTCGCTTAAGTCTTGGGGTCTCCATACCCTGACTTCTCTTCTCTCACAACCAGTGCCAATGAATGATACATTTTCTTCCTTCAGTGTGTGCCAGAGTACATTTACTCTGTACAGCCACCACCAGGGAGCACTGAAACAGTCCACAGGATTCCCTCTGCCCATGATCTGTCATCCACACAGTAGCTTGTGATTGTCACAGACACCCCTCTTTAGCACAGACCTTGCTGTGGTTCCTCAGCTGCCCTATCAAGCTTTCCAGGCCCTGAATACCTAATCCACACTTCTCCTTTTGTCTAGTCCTCAATTGTGCTTCCTCCTGGCTCCAGCCACACTTAAAAGCCTGAACACTCGTGTCTCAGAACCACAGGCAAGCTGGTTCCACAGCTCAAATTCCCTCAGCTCCAGGGCTACCTCACCAGAACAGCCCAGTCTAACCCTGCATAAATGGCAACTCCCCCGCTTATTTTTACTTCACAACATTTATCATCTTCTAACATATATATATGTACTCCTTCCTTGTGAATACAAATCATCTAAAGGGCAGGACATTTGTTTCATTCATTGCTATGTGCTCTGCACGAGGCTTAGCGTGACAGCAGCTCAATGACTAATTGTTGAATGAATAAACGAATTATTTTTCCTTGAAAGTGAAATTGTTGTGTTTATTATACTTATTTTTTCTGAGACTAGGTCACATTACAGAGCCTTGGTTGTCCTGAAATTCACTGTTGTGGACTAAAATGGCCCCTGACTACTGCTGACTCATAACTGCTGAGATTAAAGGCTTGTATCACTATACCCAACTATACTTACTTTTTAATTCAGCTTCATTTTATTGTTGTACATGGCTAACGTAGGGGGTCTAAAGGACTGGGAAGGCTACAGGAGCAAGAATCCGGATTCCTCACACATTGGTGGCTCAGGAGGCAGACAGGAGAGACCCAGAGGTGGGGCAGGGATACCGACCTCAAAGTCCCATCTCAGTGACTCATCTCTGTCTCTCACAACCTCCAGCTTCAGCACCACTGACTGCGGATGTAGGGTTCAGACACATTAGTCCATGTGGAACATTTCAGATCTAAACTATAACAAGATCAGATTACAAAAAAAATACAATATATAGGTATCTAAAAGTCTAAGTGCAAAAAGATAAGGTTAAAAATTAATGAGTTGGAAAGAGAAATAGAAAAATTTATATTTACAACTGAAGATTTCAATACTCCTCTCATTGGTTGACAAAACAAGGGAATAGAAAATCAATAAGAACCCAGAAGACCTAAAGAACACCATCAAGCAACTCGATCTGACTGTCAGGTAGAGGCCACATATTTCAGAAGAAGTATATCATTTTCCCTAAGCACACTCAGACCCTATGTCCCAGTAGATGAGATCCTAAGAAATAAACAAATCCTAACAAATTTGATTATTTATTATTTTATCATTTTATTTTATTATTTACTATTTTATATGTATGGGTGTTCTGTATGTATGTATGTCTGTGAATCACATGGGCGCAGTGCCTGCAGAGGCCAGAGGGCATTGGATCTCCTGGGGTTGGAGTTACGAAAGGTTGTAAGCAGTCATGTATATTCTGGGAATTGAACCTGGGTTCCCTGGAGGGAATAGTCAACGCTCTTAACCACTGAGCCATCTCTCCAGCCCCCACAGCCTCTCCCCCACTGCCATTGCCCCCAAAGAATTTATTAAATTGATTCAAAATACATCAATAAGTTCTCTGGTCCCAACAGTTTTAAACTGGGAGCAAATAACAACGATACCCGAGAAATCCTTAAATATCTGGAAATGAACCAGCACATTGCTGAGTGGTGAGGCACCAAAGAGAGGAGGAGCTCTCATAAGAGAAGATGACCCATTTCTTACTGTAAAATCAGCGTGCTCGCATGAGTTTGAAGGAACTGATAGGTAGAACTGGTCTCTAATAATTTCTATTCTCTCTCCTCTTTTAGTTTGTAATATTATGCATACTCGCCCCGCCCCCGCTCCTTCGGCGCCCACACACTGTGTAACTCAGGCTGGCCTCCCATCACAGTCCTCCTACCTCAGCATCCCCAGAACTTACTTGATAGTTTTCCTCAAGTCTTGAGACCCAGCAGTCGTCTGTCTGTCCTCGCCCCCCCATGGCTGTTCTTACCCGTAGCTTAGGAAGGTTGGAGAGCAGAAGAAGGCCCCCACTGGAGGTGTAGGGACTGTGACAGTCTCTCTGCAGGATGATGGGAGGAGCCTGTGCTGCCTCGAAGTGTCCTTATAAGAGCAGGAGACAGAAACCGACAACATCAGAGACCAAGACCCCGACGAGCAATAGCTTCATTCTCGTCTTTAGAAACCAAAAATGTGCTTGATGCTGTCCTATCCAGAGACCAGGAAAGCTGGAAGATGGCTCGGTTTCCTGTCCCCTGAGGGTGTCACCAAACACCGATTCCTCCTGTTGAGTGCTTTGGAACTGGAGTTCTGGATTCATCGTGAAAATGGGCTATCTCAATCCCCCAACTTCAGTCCATCTCATAAGTGATTGTAGGGTCTCAATTCTTTGTTTGATTGGGTTTGGTCTTGGTTTTTCAAGACAGAGCTTCTCTGTGTAACCCTATCTGTCCTGGAACTGACTTTGTAGACCAGGCTGGCCTTAAACTCACAGAGATCCACCTGCCTCTGCCTCCCAGTGCTGGGATTAAAGGTACGTGCCAGCACCACCCAGCCTTTTTAAATTATCTATTTTACAACCCAGCCGCTGTTTCCCCTCCTTCCTCTCCTCCCAGCCCCCTTACCTCCCTTCTACTCACCCCCTCCACTCACCCCTCCTCCATTTCTATACAGAGGACAGAGGAGGCCAGGCCCCCATTGACATCAACCAGACACAGCATGTCGAGCTGAAGGCTGCAGGAAGTGATCCAGTATGAGGAGTATGGTCCCAAAAAGCCAGTAAGAGTCAGAGGCAGCCCCTGCCCCCACTGTTAGGAGTCCAACAAGAACACCAAGCTACACAGCTGTGACATATATGCAGAGGCCTAGGTCAGTTCCGTGCAGGCTCTAGTTGTGGGTTCAGCCCTGTGATGTGTGGGTTTTCTTATGATATATTTGTCCCCTCTGTCTGCTACAATCCCTCCTCCCCCTCTTCCACAGGATTCCCCAAGCTTTGCCTAATGTTTGGCTGTGGGTCTCTGCATCTGTTTTCACCAGTTGCTGGATGAAGCCTCCCTGTTGACAATTGGGATTGGGCTAGACACCAATCTATCAGTATAGCAGAATATCATGAGGCATCATTACACGGACTTGTTTGGTTCTATTCTAGATCTCTGGACCATCCAGTCTTTGGGTCCTGTCCCTCCAGCCAGTGTCAGGGGTGGGTTCCCTCTCATGGCATGTATCTCGAGCTGGACTGTAGGAAGTTAGGACCAACCTGGAGTCTGCCTGGCTCTGTCAGAGGTCCTGATTGTGCCTAGCCAATGAGGGTGACCCCGCCCGTCAATAGATCGGAACGCCTGAGTGCTGGGAGGGTATATAGTGTTCTTCCCATTGCTAAATAAACGAATCTGCTGTTTCCCTTTCACCTGACTCCTGGTATCCGTGCTGTTGATAGCATGCCTTCCCACCCCTCCCCCAAGGTTAGGACGCAGCTACACTGGACCAGTTCCTCAATTTCTGTGCCACCATTAATTACCGCAGCACATCTTGTAAGAAGGGCAAATTGCAAGTTGAAGGTTATGTGGTAGCGCTGGTGTCCAGTGCCTCCCCTGGAAGTCTTGGCTCGACTCGTAAGGAGGGCGTTATTGGCTAGCTAGACAGAGAAGGGTAGTTTAGGAGGCAGCTCTGCATGGCCGGCTTTGGATCCCATCCCATTTCCCTGGTGACAAGGAAAACAAACATCAATAAGCTTTGCCACTCCTTAATCCTCCTGATCAAAAGGACAAAGTGCTTCAGGCCTTGGGTGAGACACCCCCGCCCCAAGATTAGAACTTTCGAGTACCATTATCTCCTCCCCTAAGAGTTAACTCAGAACTGTCAGTCGCCTGGCCCAGGGTCCACCAGCCCCACTCCAAGCTGATTCACCCGAAGACAGTAAGGAGATGAGAGAAATACTGATCCCCTTAGTAAGACAATGTGTTTGCTCCTCCAGGCAGCTGCGTGCAGAGCCTCAACCATGTGCCCTGTGTTATTTCCGAGTTCACGGCTGCTTTTCCACTGTGACCTGCTGGCTGGCCTCCATTGCTGAACCTTCCTGCTTTCCTGGGCCCTAACTCAAAACGCATGGCTTTCCCTTTTCCTTTTCTCCCTCTGCCTCCTCCCGGCAGCTGCTGAAACTTGCAGCCTGCTTGCCCTATTTTTTG